GTGTGGGAGGCCCTTGCAGCTTACCTCCTGCATGACCCGGATTATGCCTTCGTGATGGAACCGCGTTCCTTTGTGTATGGATCTTTGTGTCCTTACTGGGTTCATTATGAAGAACTGGAGTTGTCCTGGTTAGCAGACTGCCCTCTCTTCTCTTTGGAGGCATGGAGTACTCTCTGTCGATCCCGCACACCTGAGTGGCGGGAGGCTCAGACGGTGTTGCAGGTTTCCCTGAGAGGGCGGCTTTATGCATCTCATTGAGTGCTTGTTCACCCCTGCCCTTCCATGGGATGTTGGTGTGATGCAGCTTCATGTGCAGGTTCTTTCCCTTTCGGCTGCATTGGTCACGGAGGATTTGCATACACATGGCCTGCTGGCTTCGGCCCTGCATTTCTTCTCCCTTCTTGAGCTGTTATCAGACTGGCTTGAGGTGGATATGGAGGAGCTTGGGGCTGTCCTTTGGGTCTGGTGTATTACCCTCGGCGGCGCGTGCTTCATCTGCATTGTTGAAGCTGTTCGCGCCATTCCTGCAGGATGCAGTTTCGTGGTCTTTTGTTTCTTGACTCGCATGTCGGCAGTCAGTGCTCGCTTCTTCCTTGGAATCCGCTTCGAGCCTGGTTCTTTGACTGTCTTCGCCTTTTTGTCAATTGCTGTTTGTGGAGTCTGCGGTTGGGCAGTATCTGCAGGCAGATTCGGCTAGTTGCTATCCTATGTCGGTTTTGTTGGTCCTCTGGGGGAAGCTCATGGGGGTTCTTCCCAGCGGGGTTGTGCCAGGGCTCAGGATTCTTTCCGTTGTGGTAGGCCAGTGGTGTCAGATTCGGTGCTGCCTTCAGCGCAGTCTGTTTCTGTTTGGTGCGTTGATCGCCTTGTGTGTGGTTTAGGTGCTTGTAGGGTGCGTTGGCCCTTTTGCGGTTTGTCTCATTGACGGGGCTGTGGGGGGGAGACTCGATCTGTTTCCTTGCACCTGGTCCCATGATTTGTGGGCCTTTCGGGTTGTTTCGTTTGGTCTGCAGTGGCATTGGGTGGCTCCTCCTCCTCTGGGGGGGGGGGGGCCTCTTCTCCTGCGCTCTGTCAGGTGTCATCTAGGAGTTGGTTCGGTTGGGCTTGGTCTAAATGACCTCGTCCCTCAGGTGGGTTTCCCGCCTGTTTCTGGTCCCAAAATGGGACTGCGCAAACCTCAGGTACATTCTGGACTTGTCCCGTCTGAGCTCATGGGTTTATTGCTCCTCGTTTTGGTTGACTACTCCGTCTCAGGTCCGTTTTCTGTTGGAACCGGACGCTTGGATGGTGTCCCTAAACCTCAAGGATGCGGTCGATCGAGCGGACAGCACGCTAGACTTGTGATCCTGTGGTCCTGGGTTCGATCCCAGGCGCCAGCGAGAAACATTGGGTAGAGTTTCTTTCACCCTATGCCCCTGTTACCTAGCAGTAAAATAGGTACCTGGGTGTTAGTCAGCTGTCACGGGCTGCTTCCTGGGGGTGGAGGCCTGGTCGAGGACCGGGCCGCAGGGACACTAAAAAGCCCCGAAATCATCTCAAGATGACTCAAGATATATGCGTATTGGCATGTCCCAATTCCTCTGGGGAATTGGGAAGCAGTCCCTGCTTCTTGCAGGGACTGGCTCGGTTTTGTTGTAGGGGCGTCAAGATTACCGCTTTCGTTGCCTTCCATTCAGCTTGAATCTGGCGCCTCACATTTTCACACGCCTTACTCGTGTCGTGGTTGCCTGCCTGCATCTGTTAGGTGTTCAGGTTCTGGCTTTCCTCAACGACTGGCTGGTTTGGGCTCCCAGCTAGTCCACGTGTCTGCTTGCCAGGGATTTGGTTCTTTCCCAGCTCGCTTGGTTCGGGTTCTTGGTGAACTGGCGGAAGTCCCATCTAATGCTCTCTCAGGTTCGGTCTTGGCTGAGTCTTGTGTGGGACGCTCGGACCGTTTCCTTGTCTCTTCCTCTGGTGGCTGCTTCGCCTGCATTCCCGCCTTCATCTGTTCCTGAGGGGGTTCCCGGGTCACGCGGCGGTTGCTCGAGGGTTTGTGCGGGAGCCTGAACTTTGACATGAGGATCTACTTGAAGGTGTGGCTTCGTCGGCTGTTCTGGTTCCTTCGGGGACATCCCTTCCGGCTCTCTCGCGACCGCTGGGTTCGGCCTCTGGAGGGCTTTGCGTCGGTTGCTGCGTTCTCCGACTTCCTGGTTTTTTGGGGTTCAGTGCCTTGGCGCCTACCCGTGCCCTCGCTCGATGTGATCCCAGACGCATCATCTCTGGGCTGGGGCTTTGTGACCAGTGCTCACCAGGCCAGCCAGGGGCAATGAGGTCTGTCCTTCCGTCGGGCTCACAGCACGGTGGGGGAGTTCGCGGCGGTTTGGCATTAGCTTAGGAGGTGCAACCAACACTCACTTTCAGGTCGCCTCTAATTTACCAAAATCACAGAGGAATGGTGTACTATGTCCCCAAGAGCCTCCTCACACTTGCAGACATGTAGTGTTTACTCCAGCGCTGACACAGGGAACTATATTCTTCCTTACTCCGGGAGAATCAATGAAGTACAACCACCTCTGATGACAGTTGTGACTCTAGTGAGGTCATGACCTCCTGCTAGCGTCACTTCACGTCCCCAAAGTATCGACATCTCATTTCATGTCACTTATTACCAACGCTTGTCCTCGGCTAGTATCCTGAGATTACTCACTGACGTTTACTCAATGATTTAATATATACATCTTTCCTCTGACCTCTCAATCAGGTCTGGAAGGCAGAATAACTCTCGCTGGGGTAGACTTGTTCCACCTAGGCTACATGGGGCTACATGTTCCACCTAGGCCATAACAGTGTTCAAACCCCGGAAGTTTCCCACAGCTCCTCCTCTTCCAGCAGGTCGGAATAGTCCGATACCCGGCTGGTTCGGTCTTTTCCTCTGCTCTTCATGCCTAGTTATTTTGATGCGGGTTTATCATCATTTGTATGGCAAGGTGGCTTCGTTGATGGTGTCCCACCTGAGAGCTTCGTCTCAGTGACAATATGAAGTTTCCTGGTGTTCTTAACACCATTTTCTCTCTCTTCGTAGGTTGTTTTCTAATTCTGATTGGGTTGTCTTGTCCTTTCTGTCTTGGCTTTTTCAGGACCTTCATTTGAGGCCAAATACTGTCGCCTTGTATCATGTGGCACTGGCGGAGCTGCTCCAGCTTGTGTTCGGGGTGGATGTCAATTGTGTCCCGTTCCGTAAGCTTTCTTGTACTTTGTTTCACTTCCGGCCTGCTCATACGCCGACTGAGCCATCCTGGTCCTTGGACAGGGTGCTCTCCTATCTTTCCCTCTCCTCAGTTTGTGGTGGCACCTTCAGTTCAAGATTGTTTTTCCAAGGCTACTCTGTTTCTGTTGGCATTGGCCTCTGAGGGGAGCTGCAAGCTCTCCTCTGGCGCAGGGGTTTCTGCTCTTTCAGTCCTGGTAGTAGGTTTGTTCAGTAGCAGCGTTCTCCTTCTTTTTCTGGTGAAAACGAGATGGCTGCTTTCTAGAGGGATCCTTGGCTCATTGATGTTTGGTTGGAGAGGCCGGGGGTGCATCATGTATTGTTTCCGGGTGAAGCTCTCCGCTGTTATCTCCGCGCTTCTGCTTCGGGGACTGGGGTTGCGCTTTGGGTTCATCCGGTATCCCTCGTTCCCTGTTCCAGGACTCGAGTCACCCAGGTTGTCTACAGGGTCATTAAGTCTAGCCAGCCTGTGGTCTGTCCCTGTGCCCATGACGTTAGAAAGTTTTCTGCATTGGCTGCCTTGTTTAGCAACATGTCTTGGGCTGATATTCGGGCACAAGGATTTTTGTTGTTGAACAGGGTCCTGGTCTCACATTATTTGGTTATTGTTCCTGCTCCTAGGCATTTCTGTGTTGCTTTGGGTTGCAGGTTGCAGTCAGTTGTCTCTACTTTGCATTTGAGAGGTTTGTGGCTACTGCCTCCCGGGTATGTCCCTCTTTTTCCTTATCATTGGTTATGTAGCTCCAGGGAGCCGAAGGGGCTCCCCACAGAAAACCAGCAATGAATGTAATGAAATGCCATTTTCTGGGTGAGCCCCGGAGGCTCCCTGGTAACCCTCCCTCCCTCCGGTCAGCAGTTTTTCATGTTATTTAATGCTTAGCTTCCAAACTGGAGTGCTGGGTAGCCGGCATGGGGAGAGGAGGGCTGCATGGACGAGCAGCGCAGCAGTGTATTTGGACATTTGCTTGTTTGTTTGTTTCCTTGGGATTGTAGGGAGTTCTACCTCTCTGTTCAGTTTTCTTTGTACTTTTCTTACCATGTGGGATTTGTTTCATTATGCTTACCTTTCTGGGTGTCTAACCCAGGTCAATAGCAGATAAAGAAAACCCACAACCATAGGGGGATTTTCCAGGGCCATTGCTCCCTGCAACCTCTCTGAGGGGGGGCCAGGTTCTGGCTCATGGTCCCCGATAGGTCGAACTCCATAGACTAATGCCCCGGTCTAATATGTCACACATTAGCCCTATGGCTCCAGGGAGCCTCCGGGGCTCACCCAGAAAATGGTGTTTCATTACATTCAACGCTGGTTTTTTGTAGCATTTCTAAGTCCAAAGACAGATGAAAATGTATGTAAATGCTATGTAGACTTATGACCAAATGTCTGGTAAATCTACTATCAAATTTGCTATAAAGTCAAGTAATGAATAAAAGCACTCTCAGCACACCACAATACCTACATAGCACTCATGCTAATTATATTGTGGGGTAATTAAAGTTAGGTCTGGAGTTTACCTGGAGTTGTTGTTGTCCTATTCCCTAAGCCTGGCCTGCAGCTAGGTTTTTTTGTGATAACTTGATCTAAGAGGTTGTTGCTTGGAGCAGCCTGCAGGCCCCCATATCCATTACAATCTGGTTCATGTGGCACTTCCTGTAAATATGCTTTACATTTGTTGCTTTCACAATTTAATTTATTGAAATATACAGTTCAAATATACATTTTACGTTGCGTTTATTTTTCTCTTATTTGCGTGCATTTCAGATGTACACGATATTGCCCGAGATTGGGTGACTGGGAATTGGTACATATTGGACAGGAGAGAGATGATCTTCATGTGTAATGCAACCATGCAGGTGTGCATCACCCTGATGGATGTGTTTCTAAGTGAACCAAGAAGCATTGCTCTCGATCCCAGCTCAGGGTAAGATATTGTACACTCTACTAGGATTTTAAAGCTTGTCTTGAGATTATCTTGAGATAATTTCGGGGCTTTTAGTGTCCCCGCGGCCCCAGGAAGCAGTCCGTGACAGCTGACTAACACCCAGGTACCTATTTTACTGCTAGGTAACAGGGGCATAGGGTGAAAGAAACTCTGCCCATTGTTTCTCGCTGGCACCCGGGATCGAACCCGGAACCACGGGATCATAAGTCCAGTGTGCTGTCCGCTCGGCTGACCGGCTCCCTTATGAAGGTTTCAATAAATTGTATGTAATTGCTTCTCAGCATTGACATCTAAATGATGACCAAACCACACACTAGAAGATGAAGAGATGACAACATTTCAGTCCGTCCTGAACTATTATCAAGTCACAGTTGATTTGACAATGGTCCAGGATGGACCGAAACGTCGTCGTCTCTTCGTGTTCTAGTGTGTGGTTTGGTCATTATATCTTCAGCCACATTGTTGTGATTTATCATCTGCATATTAACATCTAAATGTATTCTCAGTATTAACATTAAACTGTTATTCTCAGTATTGACATTAAACTGTAATTCTCAGTATTGACAGTTCAGTGCTATTCTCAGTACTGTATTAAGATCTTGCCTTCAATTGCTGCCTTCATTTTGGAGACCATCATCGTATGTAGTAGAATGAATGTGAAAAATAACTACCCAAAAAGTTTATTATAATTGTCATATTTTTTCTACAGATACATGTTCTTCACCAACTGGGGTACAACAGACCCCAAACTGGAACGGGCCCTAATGGATGGAACTCAGAGACAAGGAATTGTCCATACTAAGATTGTTTACCCTTTTGGTGTTACTCTTGATTACCCAAATAAGCATGTATATTGGGTTGATGGCTACCTCAGCCATGTTGAAAGGGTCGACTACAGTGGAGGCAATCGACGAATTATCATAAAGCTCAAAACTGTAAGTTTTTTACACTAATACTTTATTGTAATTGCTAATTAAAAATAATAACACCTATTTAACTCTCTAACTGTAGGCATAATATGTACCTATTCCCCTCATGCACACACAAAAATATTAAGAAAGCATTGAATGTATTGAAGTGATCATTGATAGGTCACTCATTAACTTCTTGAGCTACCAAGCACTGGAGCTACCAAGCCTTAGGTATTACACCAAACTTCTAAGGCCCACTTGAGCATATAGGGAGCCAAGACCTGAACCTCTCTTGGAGGGGAGCTTGGGGCCTTGGGAACTTCAAAAAATTCCACCCTGAAATGGAAACTCGTCTAAGCAAGCAACTGCTTGCATGTGGTTAGTAACCCATAAGGAAAAGTAGCTAGTTAATCATAGCTACAGGGAAATCTTTGAGCATGACTACCCACCTGTCACCAAACTCCAGCCCAGGCAACCTGGGGGTCCTCACAAACCAGTGAAGGGCTCCATCACTAACCCCCCTCCCACCCCCCTTTTCAACTAACTCACAATGGCACCTTGGCAGAGGAAGTCAGTGTTTCTGAAAGGGAGACAAATGATGGAGAAAACAGGTAAGATGGCCGAGGCTGTCATGTTTGAGCCAAAGGGATGAGAGTGAGAAACTAAAAATGGGACCAGCAGATGCATGAATCCCTGGTAACATATAGCTTATTATACTGTATTCTTAGTGCTCATTTCATCAGCATGTATTCATTGTCCTGCATTATGTTCATGTGTTCATTACTGTGTTCTTACCCAAATATATAAACAAGTGTTGTATAATGTTTGATAGTGGTATTTGTGAGTAATGTTATATACTCTACTGTGCAACTTTGGATCCCTCTAGGCCTGTTATCATAGTTTTAAGAACTGTATCATATACTTTTGAAATTGTAATTATAGTTATAACTTTGTAGAATTTCATGTTTTGTGGGATTCAATTAAGACCAGGGATGCCATTTTTGAGCACATAAGTGACTGAACTTACACTGGTTCAATGCTGCTCTTTAAGAGCACCATAGATAAGCTTTTAATAGACAAGATAAAGTATTTTAATATGTATTCCGATATATTTGGTCCTAGGAAATATTGTCATAAAATTAGATTTATAGGAATATACAGTATTTGGTAATGTTTTCTTGATGGGCAATATGGACTACATTATTTATAGGCATAATTGCATGATGAATGTCCATCTTAGGCTAAATATATTGGAGGATGAAAGACCTTCTATAGGCGTAATATATTGGAGGGTGAAAGACCTTCTATAGGCGTAATATATTGGAGGGTGAAAGACCTTCTATAGGCGTAATATATTGGAGGGTGAAAGACCTTCTATAGGCGTAATATATTGGATGGTGAAAGACCTTCTATAGGCGTAATATATTGGAGGATAAAAGACCTTTTATAGGCATAATATATTGGAGGATAAAAGACCTTTTATGGACATAATATATTGCAGGAAAAAAGACCTTTTATAGGCATAATATATTGGAGGATAAAAGACCTTTTATAGGCGTAATATATTGCAGGATGAAAGACCATTTGGAATCTCGCTGTTTGAGAATTCTTTATTTGTGACAAGTTGGAAAGACAACAGCATCAAGCAGATCAACAAGTTTCACACACACAATGTTACAACTTTCCACACAAACTTGACTGAGCCAATGCACATCCACGTCTTCCATCGTCAAAGGCAGCCAAATGGTTTGTAATATTTTCTCCTTTTTATACTGTCTGTTATACTGAAAAGTAATAGTGTTTAACAATACAGGATACTTGGTTGTATTAAAGTATGTTTTCTCATACAGTGTTCTCATGGTGTATGTTTTTTTATTTTATTTATATATACAAGAGTTCTCACATTCTTGTACAACCACTAGCACATTAGCATTTCGGACAGGTCCTTAATCCTAATTTCCCCCGGAATACGACCCATCAAATCATTTAACAACCAGGCACCCATTCACTGCTGGGTGAACAGAGGTGTGCAGTTAAGGATTTCCGTCTAGTCAATCATTCCCGGTCAGGATACCAACCCAGGTCAAATTGCTTGTGAAGCGCAGGGCGAGTGTCTTACCACTGCGCCACGGAGACTGCTGATATAGTACATTGCTTACGGATCTTACAAAAAACTGGGAGGTATTCCAGGGTTAAGAGTTACATTACAGTTCATATAAATTTTTTATAAATGTTGACCTCATTACAAGATATAATCCAGAATTCCAGTATGATTTCTGTTTAAAATCTTGTTATAATTGGTTTATTTAATCTTGACTTATACAAAATCCATAAATGTGGTTTTAATATGTCTGATTTTTTTATAAATGTCACAGTTAACTACAGATTTGTGTGCTTTTTGGGCTGTGGTTAACACATTGTATAATTTTTGGTTATAATGTTCAGAGACTACAGCTGTAGTTTAAAACTTACTTGGAGTAATAGTAGAAATAATATCATTGATGTAATTTATTGGGAACTGAATAATAAACTGATCCAAAATGGTTACGTAAGTACGTTTGATAGGTCAGAAGCATTTTCCACATTGTCTTTCAGTTGAGCATCCGTGTGGTGTGTATAATGGAGGTTGTCAGCACATTTGTATCCCATTATGGAAGGATGGACTGGCTGTTGTCTCGTGTCATTGTCAACCCGGACACATACTTGGCCCAGGAGGCTCCTGTGTAGGTAATGTATATTTACTGTATTTATTTTACATTATGTGAGTCTCAACATATTTATTTGCATATATGATTAGGTTTGCATGAAGTTTCAAGCGCTTTCTATTCTTATAGTACAGTAATGATTAAGACCAGGGAAAGGGATAACTGTCACTACTCAGCTGATCACCCAAGGAAACAAGGGTACTGAAAACATATTAGAAAGTTTTCTTTTGCAAACAGAGAGGTAGACGGTTGGAACAAGTTAAGTGAGAAGGTGGTGGATGCCAAAACCGTCAGTAGCTTCAAAGCATTATACAACAAAGAGTACTGGGAAGACGGGACACCACGAGCGTAGCTCTCATCCTGTAACTACACTTAGGTTATTATACTTGGGTAATTACTTGCTGTATGAGCTTATTTAGTTCCTTCTTGAAAACCTCAACATTTACGACAGTAGTACAGTATAATCTTTTCTAGCTCGGCTCCTGGGTCGCTCCTTGTAGCTAGACAGTCAGTAGGCATCCATCAGTCTCAGGAGACTATGGAGTTGCGCTCTGGTTGTTGGTCTGTAGTGGCCTCTCCAAGGCGCAAAGCCAGGGTAGGTTGATACGGAGGAGAAGCTGTTACCCAAGCAGCAGATCCCCACTCTCCACAGCGCCGAAAGTCTCCAATGGAAAGGCAAATGCAAATACGATTGGTTCCAGCGCCGTCGCAGTGTTAAATTGTACAGTTGCATGTGGGTGTAGCTACCCATCCACATAGCTATAGGGAGCCTCTGAGGAGCCCACCAGAAAGAGGCATCTTGTTACATTCAACACTGAATTATTTGCTGTAGAAGGTTAAAGGTTTGTGTACCTCTGAATCTTAGTGTTTTCTAAGTGTGGTTTTGATATTCCTATTCATCATTGGGTATATTGTCTTCTTACCATATCTCTCATTCCAGTACATTGTTACCGTAGACTTCTGGTTCTTCATGATGGGATCACTTCCTGTGATATCTCTCACTCCAGTACATTGTTACCGTAGACTTCTGGTTCTTCATGGTGGGATCACTTCCTGTGATATCTCTCACTCCAGTACATTGTTACCGTAGACTTCTGGTTCTTCATGGTGGGATCACTTCCTGTAATATCTCTCACTCCAGTATATTGTTACCGTAGACTTCTGGTTCTTCATGGTGGGATCACTTCCTGTGATATCTCTCACTCCAGTACATTGTTACCGTAGACTTCTGGTTCTTCATGGTGGGATCACTTCCTGTGATATCTCTCACTCCAGTACATTGTTATCGTAGTCTTCTGGTTCTTCATAGTGGGATCACTTCCTGTGATATCTCTCACTCATACACTCAAAGAATTTTGTTCAAAGAGTAGCTTCCCTGTTGAAAGCTCTTGTTCATAGCTCTTGGTCACAGCTCTCATTCAAAGTGCTTATTACATCAATACCAGAACTACCCAGAATGCCTTCCTCAAGCACTCGCATGCACAAACACCTAACACATTTTTATGATATGATGTAGCTTCCCAAGCTACATAGTGAATACATGTTACAAAGCAAACTTTTGTGCAGATTATGTCAAAAGTTATATAATTATGTAGGAGTATATTGACAACCTTGGTGGTAGCTTTGTATTTTAAATTCGTAAGTGTAAATGTAAAGTTATTTAACAGTCAATGTCTCAGCTTGCATGGATGTGAACTATGGGATGTTCAAAATGTTAAATACAGTAAGCTAAATTGTGAATGGAGGAAATGCTCAAGACATCATGGGAGTCCATTCTAGCACTCTCATTGCCATCTCCTGCCTGGCCTCATGTCCTCACAACACTTGAAGAAATAATATACAAACAAATGATATGCTTTTGTCTGAGGGGAATTACCCATCCAGCAAAAAATAAGTTCTTCTCTGAGAGGGCTTACCTCAGTAGCTCCCCCAAGCTAGCCTCCTGGTTGGCTCCAAGTCTAACGTACTCCACCCAGCCCTTGTGAGTCCGGACCACCTACCACAAGCTTAATCTAGTCCCTTCATTAGAGTTGAGCGGATACTAGATCAGCCCGAACCAAGAGGAAAATACCACACCACAAAGGTAGTGTACCCCCCAAAAGAAGCAACCACATGGAAAAACATTGGTAACTAAGACAACAATGTACACATTATACTAAAAGCTCTTGCGATCACATCCACAATTTTTATCACAACCCAGCCGAAAAAACACCTTGAGACTTTTTTAATACCAGAATAAGAACATTGTGTTTTACACTGATAGTGTTAATAAAGCTTAAAGTCATACAGAAAATATTGCATATAGTTGTGAATTTTGCTGTGTTAATAAACCTTAATATTTGACTGCCTATACATTGCAGCTGCCAGTGCTGTAGCGGATAACGCCCTCACCCCACACCTCTCACCACCGATATTGGCCTTGGGCTCTGATCCTTAACTGTTCGTCCCTGTTCACCCAGCAGTAATTGCAAACCATTTGGCAGATCTTGTTCCAGGGAAAACTAGTAGAGAAAGGTTTAAGATGAGCTATGGGAAGGGAAAGAAGTTCTTAAGCCTCCTAATTGTGGTATAAACTCTTAAGCCTCCTGTATGTATAAGTCACATTTATTCTTCAGTGTTAAAACAATAAAATTCTATAATAAAATACTAGGCCTGAAATGCATTTTATTTTTCCCTAAAAATTTTGTTCCAAATACTATTTGGTCTGGTATTAAATAAGTTTCAAGGAACACATCCCTATTGATAACTGGGAGGCTCCAAATTTTTGCTGCGTTAATTAGGGACGTTAACTTTGAGAATGCTTTATGTACAGACAAACCTCGTTTAGTGTGGATGATGCTTGTTGTACAGGATATTTGTAGCATAGTAGCAATAGAAATGCTTATACACCATAGTTTATCACCTAATACATTACAGGTTCATTGAGTTAGTGGAACTATTTTACACAAGAGAAAATGTTAAGGCTGGATGTTGGGATTATATCTGTATACTGTACCTGGACTTCCCAGGTAGACGCACCACCAATTGAGCTGTGATGATCTTGGTTGCTTAGATCATCATGGTTCAGTTGATGATGTGCGTGGCTATCGTACAGTCTCAATATTTGTTCAAGAAATCTTATATTCTTTTGATTTTATTGTGGAATTCTACGTAATAATTAACAAAATTTTATAAATAAATACTCTATACAATATTTTCTCTAGTGACTGAGCAGTCATACTTGTCGATGATAGTGGTCTGTCATCTTCTAGTGTGTGGTTTGGTCATTATAGTGGTCTGTTGTTTACTGCCTTTTCTATCACTGTTGTTTTTGTAAACTGGGACTATATTTGCCTCTTTCTATGTCGGCAGATTTTCCTGTTTGTGAAGATGTCTGAAGAAATAATCTATAGCAGGTTGCCAACTTCATGATTATGTTCTCTTGGTACCCAAAGTTTAACTTCATCTGGTCCAACTGCTTTATTTCTAAATCAAACATTAATTGTATGTTGTCTCCAGACACATATGTGCTCTAGGTTACATTCAATGGTCCATAGTGTACACTATTTTAACAGCCGAATAGATGTATGCATACGTATGCATTCATATGTATGAATATGCTTTAAAACTTCATTTAAGGTTTTTACATTTCCTTTTGTTACCTGTTCTCACTCTCAAAATATTGTACTTAAAATGCTGTTTGTATTAAATAAATTTAAGCTGCAATGCATTTTGCAATTGTCCGCTATCACAATCTCAAAGTTTCCTTCTTCCTTTCTTTTCATTACTGTGGAGTTGTTTCAAGCGTGTTGGTATTTCTGATATGCTTGTGGATTAGGTCTTTTCTTATTTACATGCCATTTCTCTTTCTAAGCCTTTCTTTATAACCTCAGGTTTCTTTCTTATAATTTTGGAATTGTCTGGCATTTCTGAGCACTTGTCTGGCATTTCTGAGCACTTGTCTGGCATTTCTGAGCACTTGTCTGGCATTTCTGACCACTTGTCTGGCATTTCTGACCACTTGTCTGGCATTTCTGAGCACTTCTATGGCATTTCTGAGCAATTGTCTGCAATTTCTGAGTACTTTTCTCAACTGTTGTACCCCATTTTATTGGGTGGTGTTAGTGCAGTTGGTTCATTCTTGAATCACAATTGGAAATTCCGGGTTCAAATCCCGAGCAGAACAGAAATGTTTTGGCATGTTATGTTGACCAGACCACACACTAGAAGGTGAAGGGACGACGATGTTTCGGTCCGTCCTAGACTATTCTCAAGTTAATTGTCCAGGACGAGAATGGTCTAGGACGGACCGAAACGTCGTCGTCCCTTCACCTTCTAGTGTGTGATCTGGTCAACATACTTCAGCCATGTTATTGTGACTCATCGCCTGCATTTGGCATATTTTCTTTCACCTAATGCCTTTGCTCACCTAACAATACATAGGTACCCAGAAGTTAGTCAGCTGTTGTAGAGTTGCATCCTGGGTAGGGTCAGTAGTTTGACCTTGAGAGATCCCGATACCATTCTAACGTAACTATCTAAGTGTAGTTACAGGATGAGAGCTACGCTTTTGGTGTCCCATCTTCCCAACACTCTTTGTTATACAACGCTTTGAAAGTAGTGACAGTTTTGGCCTCTGCCACCTTATTTACCTATTCTAACTGTCTACCACTCTATTTGCAAAAGTGAATTTTTTAACATTTCTTGAGCAGTTTTGTTTAGTTGTATTAAATCTTTGACCTCTTGTTCTTTAAGTTCCAGGTCTCAAGAATTCTTCTCATCAGTGTTGTCAGTTCCCATTACTGTTATACATACACAAGTTGCCTGCTCCTCAACATTACTGTTATACATACACAAGTTGCCTGCTCCCAACATTACTGTTATACATACACAAGTTGCCTGCTCCCAACATTACTGTTATACATACACAAGCTGCCTGCTCCCAACATTACTGTTATACATACACAAGTTGCCTGCTCCCAACATTACTGTTATACATACACAAGCTGCCTGCTCCCAACATTACTGTTATACATACACAAG